TGTAACCTTAGACGTCACGCATCGTTGGTTATTGTTTTGATCGTGTGATCAGTTAATAAATATATATTATGTTCACCTTCAACGCTGCGCATTGGTCCTCTCTCGTAGACGACCGTGACAGAAGAAACCACCAGAACTGGACCAAGCAGCCTAGTGAGGAGCAGAGTAGGTGGACTTGGCAACAGTGGAGGCAGAGCTTAGACTGGGTCAAGCCGAATGAGGAGCTGAATGACGGAGATTGGAAGCAGAGGAGCGAGAGGTGGGCGAGAATTATCGAGGCCTGGCCCACGGGGAAGAGAGACTCCCAGAAATTTTTTAGGGGGGGGCTCACGACGTCGGACCAGCAGGAGGCCGCGATAGAGCGGCCCAGTGGGTTGCCAGAGGAGGCCGCCAGGTTACGGGGGCCACTGGTCGAAGAGGGGATGGAGGATGTAGAGGCACGGCGAGAGGTACTGGCGTGTGTTGCCAGTCCGGTCCGGCCCGTTCCAGATCCCGGTGTAGGGCCAGTGGTGTGTGTCCCCAGTACGGTCCGGTCTATTCCTGCTCCCCGCACCAAGTCAGGGGTGCGCATCGTCAGCCCGGTTCGGCCCGTTCCTACTCCACGCACCAAGCCTACGGTGTGCGTCGACAGCCCAGCCCGGCCCGTTCCTGCTCTCCGCACCAAGTCTGTGGTGCGCGTCGCCAGCCCAGTCCGGCCCATCCAAGCTCCCCGCACCAAGCCAGTGGTGTGCGTCGTCAGTCCGGCACGGCCCGTGCCTGCTCTCCGCACCAAGTCTGTGGTGCGTTTCGTCAGCCCTGTCCGGCCCGTTCCTGCTCTCCGCACCAAGTCTGTGGTGCGCGTCGCCAGCCCAGTCCGGCCCATCCAAGCTCCCCGCACCAAGTCAGGGGTGCGCTTCGTCAGCCCGGTCCGGCCCGTTCCTGCTCCCCGCACCAAGTCAGTGGTGTGCTTCGTCAGCCCAGTCCGGCCTGTCCCTGCTCCACGCACCAAGCCTACGGTGTGCGTCGTCAGCCTGGTAAGGCCCGTTCCTCCTCCACGCACCAAGCCAGGGGTGCGCGTCGTCAGTCCAGCACAACCCGTGCCTGGGTCATGTCCGGAGCCGGATCCGCCGCCGAGGCGGAGTGCCCACCCGGTCCCTCCCCTGTTGTGGTTGTTTGGCGCGGTCGGAGTCCGCGCCTTTGGGGGGGGGTACTGTCACGCCCTGGCTCTGGGGACTATGTTATGTTGAGCCAGGGTATGTAAGTCTATGTTTGTATATCTATGTGGGCCTGAGTGACTCCCAATCAGAGGCAACGAGTGTCAGCTGGTTGTCTCTGACTGGGAGCCATATTTAACTATCGGTCTTTTCACTTTGTGTTGTGGTTTCTTGTTCCGTTAAGGTTTGTTCGTGTTGTAACCTTAGACGTCACGCATCGTTGGTTATTGTTTTGATCGTGTGATCAGTTAATAAATATATATTATGTTCACCTTCAACGCTGCGCATTGGTCCTCTCTCGTAGACGACCGTGACAGTACCATACTCTGGAATTCTTATCTTCACATCGTCAAAACATCATCAACCCTCAATATCTTCCAGCGAAGACTGGGAGTCAGCCTGATGAACCAAACTACCCAATAATCCCCTCCATGAAGACTGGGGGTCAGCCTGATGAACCAAACTACCCAATAATCCCCTCATGAAGACTGGGGGTCAGCCTGATGAACCAAACTACCCAATAATCCCCTCCATGAAGACTGGGGGTCAGCCTGATGAACCAGACTACCCAATAATCCCCTCCATGAAGACTGGGGGTCAGCCTGATGAACCAAACTACCCAATAATCCCCTCCATGAAGACTGGGGGTCAGCCTGATGAAACAAACTACCCAATAATCTCCTCCATGAAGACTGGGGGTCAGCCTGATGAACCAAACTACCCAATAATCTCCTCCATGAAGACTGGGGGTCAGCCTGATGAACCAAACTACCCAATAATCCCCTCCATGAAGACTGGGGGTCAGCCTGATGAACCAAACTACCCAATAATCCCCTCCATGAAGACTGGGGGTCAGCCTGATGAACCAAACTACCCAATATCCCCTCCATGAAGACTGGGGGTCAGCCTAACTCTCTCTCTCACACACATACATAATCAAACATGGTTTTTCTTCCAGCCTCACCTGAACACCGTTTTTATCTGTTTATTTCATATCAGCCCTTTTGCGATTCCAGCCTCACCTGAACACCGTTTTTACCTGTTTATTTACATATCAGCCCTTTTGTGCTTCCAGCCTCACCTGAACACCATTTTTACCTGTTTATTTATCTGCAGTGTTTTGTCTTTCACTTATTTTCCTTGGTGTGAATAAATAAAACCTAAAACCTAATTGAGAAATGTTTCCACTTGCAATGACTTCTGTTTAAACCGTGATTTAAACTGAAACTCAGTGATATGACATGTAAGGCTGTGTGTCTGCCTGTATTCATTTATGTACCTGATTTCCATTCAGACTGCTTTGTCCAGCCAAGTGGCACTTTGTGGGATACATTGAATGTAATGGAGTTGAAGTTGTGTTCCCAGCAGTCCACAGGATGGCGCCAGAGCAGCATAACTGGACTGGTGAGACCTGAGTAATATACCAAGGGAAATACACTATATATACAAAAGTATGTGGACACCCCTTCAAATGAGTGGATTTGGCTATTTCAGCCACACCCGTTTCTGACAGGTGTATAAAATCGAGCACACAGCCATGCAATCTCCATAGACAAACATTGGCAGTAGAATGGCCTTACTGAAGTGCTCAGTGACTTTCAACGTGGCACTGTCATAGGATGCCACCTTTCCAACAAGTCAGTTCGTCAAATGCCCTGCTAGAGCTGCCCCCAGTCAACTGTAAGTGCTGTTATTGTGAAGTGGAAACGTCTAGGAGCAACAACGGCTCAGCAATGAAGTTGTAGGCCACACAAGCTCACAGAACGGGACCGCCGAGTGTCTACGGAGATTGCATGGCTGTGCGCTCGATTTTATACATCTGTCAGCAACAGGTGTGGCTGAAATAGCCGAATCCACTAATTTGAACGGGTGTCCACAAACTTTTGTATATATAGTGTACCTTCACATAATGTCCGCTTGTCTGAGTGCCTTATTGGAATGATGTTCTTAAAGTGCACATGTTCAGACAGACAGGAAGTGGCTGATTAAATCACCTTTATTAAAAGATACCGGATGCTGGAATACCAATACTTTAGGATGCAGCAGTAGCTTCCCAACACACAGGCCCAGGCTTGTGCCCAACCAAACTCCCAACTCACATAGAGGATGAGTCCAAAATGGTACCCTATTCCCTATATAGTTCATTACCTTTAACCAGAACCCTACGTAGACTAGATAACACCTCATGCATCTAGCGTTCTGTTTGTCCCATGAATCACCCTGTGAACGCGTCTCTAAGGGTCCAGGTCAAAAGTAACACACTATAAAGGGAATAGTGTGTCATTTGGGACGCACCCACAGTAATAATAACAAAACTGTTTCTGATCGTACTTAAAATAAAATAAAAAATCCATGTAAATATCTGCAGTATCCTTGCCAACCATTTCAATCTGCATATTGGTTTTTCTTTTAAAATCACAACTTGACAGTAAAATAGTCCAAAATAAAGAAGAGATCTGAAACCATGCAACACTCAACAAGCCCACATTACAGTTACTTCTGGGTTCACAACCATTTTGAATTATCAATATCATGTTCATCATCAACACTTACAACATCATATGACTTTACACAATAGTGAGAAGGACGTTTGGATGTTTTTTTTTAGAGGGTTTTGGGAAGGACAGAATCAATCAAATCGTGTAGACCTTATCCACTTGAGTTACATTACTGTACAAAAGGAAATTGTCAAATTATAGATAGAACATATTTTTTGTTTCCTTAGTTTGTTACCCGAGCCAGTCGATGCCTTTAGGCCTCATGCTTGGTGTTAAAGTGGGACCCTGAGCAACAGATATACAGAACACTTCAGCACACCCTTAACCTCCATGTTGGTACCAAACGCTAACCTACTGCTCCCAGACCAGTGTCTAACCTCCATGTTGGTACCAAATGCTAACCTGCTGCTCCTAGACCAGTGTGTGCTGTCATTCCATTCATTGTCATGTTTGGAGTGACATGATGGCACCAACAGACTGATACCCAGGCTAACCAAACACCATCATAACAACATTCTAATTTACATTCTGACTGAAATGTTCATGATGCTTTGGGTGCCAAAATGGCATCCATTAAGATACTAAACCTCAAACCCAGTTTACCCTCTACTCTGCTGTATATTTATGTCTTAGGGTCACTGCCTGCCAGAGGCAAAGATACTGAGTAGGGCTCAGTCATTGGGCTTTATAATACTGTATCAAGTCCTACAGAACATGCATATTCTACACATCCCAATCACATTCTCTTCATCACAGCCTGACAACAGGCTTCCTCAGGATGTTTACTTGATGTTTAATGGAAGATGGTGGATACATGGTGAATGGCTTATCTTTTAAAGAGCAACTCTCTCAATATGCAAAGGCTGGAAATTGGGGAAATGACATTCAAGCGGCATTGAAAAATAGAGCAAATATAAGGACAAATCTGATGAACTTGTCAGAGTAAGACAACAGCAACAATTGTCTGTTGATATGTTACCATGGTAACCCATCTTCCCTGTAAAACACCTCCAGACAGTGTGAAACCATGTTGTTTTACATGAATTCAATAACAGCTCAGGTGTGTCAAGTACAACAGAGACAGAAGGCAACTGAAAGACACAGTAACAGAAATTCAGACGTAAAGAGCAAACAGTGAGAAAGAGACATTTCTAGATGTAGAACTCAGAAGATGTTCATTCTAGAACTAGAACTTAGAAGATGGTCATTCTAGAACTAGAACTTAGAAGATGGTCATTCTAGATGTAGAACTCAGAAGATGGTCATTCTAGATGTAGAACTCAGAAGATGGTCATTCTAGAACTAGAACTTAGAAGATGGTCATTCTAGATGTAGAACTCAGAAGATGGTAACTTCTTGAGGAGTATGAGACACGCTGTCGTCAAACATTCTAACTGATAACATTACAAAGGACTGCTCAGTGAAACCTTGTTGAACTGACAACTTCCAGAATACAACACTTTAGAATAACCTAGAATCTTCCTCTCACTATGGGGTATAAATACATCTCCATACTCCAACTTCAATGTATGAGTGAGTCCCACATGTTTAACTTTCATTTGATCCACTTCAGTTAACACACTATAGTAGAGGACATCAGATGACCTCACAGATAGAGCAGTGGGTCTCCACCTACAGTTCATACCCCCTGTGTCCCAAATGGCACCCTATTCCCTACATAGTGCACTACTTTAGACCAGGGCTCTGTTGGTAGTGCACTATATAGGGAATAGAGGGGCATTTTGGGATGTAGCCCACCATGTTCAGTTGTCTACTATGATGTATACTTCCTGGTTTGGTTTATGACAACATCCTCTCTGTCTCGTTCTAGACTGTGCCTAACCTAACTTCCTGTTTACACCTTTCATACCTGTCTCTGTCTTTTACTGTTATACAGGTGGGCCTTGGAGGGAGAGGGGAAGAGGAGGGAGAGAGGAAGAGAGGAAGGATGGAGGGACAACAAGAGGGGGAGACACAGGGAGAGGGGGAGACACAGGGAGAGGGAGAGACACGGAGAGGGAGAGACAGGGAGAGGGGGAGACACAGGGAGAGGGGGAGACACAGGGAGAGGGAGAGACACAGGGAGAGGGAGAGACACAGGGAGAGGGGGAGACACAGGGAGAGGTTGAGACACAGGGAGAGGGGGAGACACGGAGAGGGAGAGACACAGGGAGAGGGGAGAGACACAGGGAGAGAGAGAGACACAGGGAGAGGGAGAGACACAGGGAGAGACACAGGAGAGACACAGGGAGAGGGAGAGACACAGGGAGAGGGAGAGACACAGGGAGAGGGGGAGACACAGGGAGAGGGGGAGACACAGGGAGAGGGAGAGACACAGGGAGAGACACAGGGAGAGACACAGGGAGAGGGAGAGACACATGGAGAGACACAGGGAGAGGGAGAGACACATGGAGAGACACAGGGAGAGGGAGAGACACAGGGAGAGGGAGAGACACAGGGAGAGGGGGAGACACAGGGAGAGGGAGAGACACAGGGAGAGAGAGAGACACAGGGAGAGGGAGAGACACAGGGAGAGGGAGAGACACGGGGAGAGACACAGGGAGAGGGAGAGACACAGGGAGAGACACAGGGAGAGGGAAGGAGGGGGAGACACAGGGAGTGGGAGATACAGGGAGAGGGGAGGGGAGAGAGAGGAATGAGGCTCCTCTCTAATCGTCCCAGTCCTTCTTGATCCCCAAGTTCCACTCCCAGGAGAGGTGGTCGGTCTTGTCGTCGTCGGTGAAGTGGGACTTGATGTGGTAGCTGCCTCGGACAATCATGCCTTTGGGCGCCTCCTCCACCGGGGTCATGAACTCGTGCTCCTCCACCCGCGGCCCGTAGCTGCCCACCATGTACACCGCCTTGTCCACTGCAAGACACAAAATGGACGTTCAGTTGCACACTTGCTAGCCAGGTTTTAGGTGAAGGTGGGGGAAACTGTGACATCTTGTGTCAATGACAACACACAAAATGGCGGCACAGTTGCACACTTGCTAGCCAGGGTTTAGTATACAGTGGCTTGCGAAAGTATTCACCCCCCTTGGCATTTTTCCTATTTTGTTGCCTTACAACCTGGAATTAAAATGGATTTTTTGGGGGTTTGTATCATTTGATTTACACAACATGCCTACCACTTTGAAGATGCAAAATAATTTATATTGTGAAACAAACAAGAAATAAGACAAAAAAACAGAAAAGTATAGAGACATACTGCAAGTCTTGTGGGGTATGTCTCTATAAGCTTGGCACATCTAGTCACTGGGATGTTTGCCCATTCTTCAAGGCAAAACTGCTCCAGCTCCTTCAAGTTGGATGGGTTCCGCTGGTGTACAACAATCTTTAAGTCATACCACAGATTCTCAATTGGATTGAGGTCTGGGCTTTGACTAGGCCATTCCAAGACATTTAAATGTTTCCCCTTAAACCACTTGAGTGTTGCTTTAGTAGTATGCTTAGGGTCATTGACCTGCTGGAAGGTGAACCTCCATCCCAGTCTCAAATCTCTGGAAGACTGAAACAGGTTTCCCTCAAGAATTTCCCTATATTTAGCGCCATCCATCATTCCTTCAATTCTGACCAGTTTCCCAGTCCCTGCCGATGAAAAACATCCCCACAGCATGATGCTGCCACCACCATGCTTCACTGTGGGGATGGTGTTCTCGGGGTGATGAGAGGTGTTGGGTTTGCGCCAGACATAGCGTTTTCCTTGATGGCCAAAAAGCTCAATTTTAGTCTCATCTGACCAAGGTACCTTCTTCCACCAAACGTTTTTGCTTATTTTCTTCTTTAAGCAACTGACCACTCTTCCGTAAAGCCCAGATCTGTGGAGTGTACGGCTTAAAGTGGTCCTATGGACAGATACTCCAATCTCCGCTGTGGAGCTTTGCAGCTCCTTCAGGGTTATCTTTGGTCTCTTTGTTGCCTCTGTGATTAATGCCCTCCTTGCCTGGTCCGTGAGTTTTGGTGGGCGGCCCTCTCTTGGCAGGTTTGTTGTGGTGCCATATTCTTTCCATTTTTTAATAATGGATTTAAATGGTGCTCCGTGGGATGTTCAAAGTTTCAGATATTTTTTTATAACCCAACCCTGATCTGTACTTCTCCACAACTTTGTCCCTGACCTGTTTGGAGAGCTCCTTGGTCTTCATGGTGCTGCTTGCTAGGTGGTGCCCCTTGCTTAGGGGTGTTGCAGACTCTGGGGCCTTTCAGAACAGGTGTATATATACTGAGATCATGTGACAGATCATGTGACACTTCGATTCCACACATGTGGACTTTATTTAACTAATTATGTGACTGCTGAAGGTAATTGGTTCCACCAGATCTTATTTAGGGGCTTCATAGCAAAGGGGGTGAATACATATGCATGCTCCACTTTTCAGTTATATATTTTTTTTCATTTCACTTCACCAATTTGGACTATTTTGTGTATGTCCATTACATGAAATCCAAATAAAAATCAATTTAAATTACAGGTTGTAATGCAACAAAATAGGAAAAACGCCAAGGGGGATGAATACTTTTGCAAGGCACTGTATGTAGTGGAAACTGTGACAATTTGTGTCAGTGACAACACACCAAATCGCGGCTCAGTTGCACAGTTGGTAATCAGGTTTTAAGTGTATGTGGGGGAAACTGACACGGTCTATGGGTCTAAACAGCACAGCTAATCCACAGTTCGGTACAAAATGGTGTCCACCTTACCTCTGAGTCCTTTCCTGTAGGTCAGATGGACGTACTTCAGTCCAGACACAATATCCCTGTTAACCTGGAGAGGAGAGGAGAGGGTAAGGAGAGGAGAGGAGAAGGGAGGGTAAGGAGAGGAGAGGAGAAGGGAGGGTAGGAGAGGAGAGGAGAGGAGAGGAGAGGAGAGGAGAGGAGAGGAGAGGAGAGGAGAGGAGAGGAGAGGAGAGGAGAGGAGAGGAGAGGAGAGGAGAGGAGAGGAGAGGAGAGGAGAGGAGAGGAGAGGAGAGGAGAGGAGAGGAGTTACTATATGTAGGGGCACACACACACAGGACCCCAGATAAATCATACACCACTGTTTTTCATCTAGGGACTGTTTTCAAAGAGGGAGACTTTTCTCACGTAAGGGAAGATCTAGACTATGGCCGGGATTCAATTCCATCGCACTTTGTTGACAACGCACATCATTTCAGACAGAGCTGACATATGCAGCGCCTACCATGAATGCAGTCTCCGCCTACACAGGAACATTGCCTTTAAAAGGTGCAATAGAATCCCAGACTAGACCAGAGTATCTCAGAGTTTTATCTGTTCCTATCTGATTCCACAATAATCTGTCTTAGAACCTGTAAACGATATTTCATACCCAAGTAGAAGTGGTAATGCTACTGTAACCATGAATTAGAATGGGTCTAAACAAAATAGATCACTCTCCAATCTTTCTCACTACTTTTCAATGGCACCTACAACTTCTTCAGACGTCATTTCAACGTCTAATTTTTATTTACATTTGGTTGAGTTGTCAACTAACATGAATTCAACATGAAATCAACACAAAATGTCACCATGCAATTGTATTTAGGTTAAAAATGTTGTTAAAAAATAATAATTCCATTACGTTGATTACTTTTTTGCAAATCCAATCAGTTTCCCACATTGATTCAACGTCGTGACATTGAATATTTTTGTTGAAACGACATGGAAACAACGCAGGAGCAGCAGAGGAGGTAAGGGCTCTGGGAGTGTGGTGGCAGGAAAATAACCTCTCACTCAATGTCAACAAAACAAAGGAGATGATCGTGGACTTCAGGAAACAGCAGAGGGTGCACCCCCCTATCCACATCGACGGGACAAACTGAAATGGTCCACCCACGCAGACAGTGTAGTGAAGAAGGCGCAACAGAGCCTCTTCAACCTCAGGAGGCTGAAGAAATTTGGCTTGGCACCTACAGTGAGCGAAAAAAGTATTTGATCCCCTGCTGATTTTGTACGTTTGCCCGCTGACAAAGAAATGATCAGTCGATTATTTTAATGGTAGGTTTATTTGAACAGTGAGAGACAGAATAACAACAAAAAAATCCAGAAAAACGCATGTCAAAAATGTTATAAATTGATTTGCATTTTAATGAGGGAAATAAGTATTTGACCCCTCTGCAAAACATGACTTAGTACTTGGTGGCAAAACCCTTGTTGGCAATCACAGAGGTCAGACGTTTCTTGTAGTTGGCCACCAGGTTTGCACACATCTCAGGAGGGCTTTTGTCCCACTCCTCTTTGCAGATCTTCACCAAGTCATTAAGGTTTTGAGGCTGACGTTTGCCAACTCGAACCTTCAGCTCCCTCCACATATTTTCTATGGGATTAAGGTCTGGAGACTGGCTAGGCCACTCCAGGACCTTAATGTGCTTCTTCTTGAGCCACTCCTTTGTTGCCATGGCTGTGTGTTTTGGGTCATTGTCATGCTGGAATACCCATCCGCGACCCATTTTCAATGCCCTGGCTGAGGGAAGGAGGTCCTCACCCAAGATTTGACGGTACATGGCCCCGTCCATCGTCCCTTTGATGCGGATGAAGTTCTCCTGTCCCCTTAGCAGAAAAACACCCCCAAAGCATAATGTTTCCACCTCCATGTTTGAAGGTGGGGATGGTGTTCTTGGGGTCATAGGCAGCATTCCTCCTCCTCCAAACACGGCGAGTTGAGTTGATGCCAAAGAGCTCCATTTTGGTCTCATCAGACCACAACACTTTCACCCAGTTCTCCTCTGAATCATTCAGATGTTCATTGGCAAACTTCAGACTGGCATGTATATGTGCTTTCTTGAGCAGGGGGACCTTGCGGGCGCTGCAGGATTTCAGTCCTTCACGGTGTAGTGTGTTACCAATTGTTTTCTTGGTGACTATGGTCCCAGCTGCCTTGAGATCATTGACAAGATCCTCCCATGTAGTTCTGGGCTGATTCCTCACCGTTCTCATGATCATTGCAACTCCACGAGGTGAGATCTTGCATGGAGCCCCAGGCCAAGGGAGATTGACAGTTCTTTTGTGTTTCTTCCATTTGCGAATAACCACGCCAACTGTTGTCACCTTCTCACCAAGCTGCTTGGCGATGGTCTTGTAGCCCATTCCAGCCTTGTGTAGGTCTACAATCTTGTCCCTGACATCCTTGGAGAGCTCTTTGGTCTTGGCCATGGTGGAGAGTTTGGAATCTGATTGATTGATTGCTTCTGTGGACAGGTGTCTTTTATACAGGTAACAAGCTGAGATTAGGAGCACTCCCTTTAAGAGTGTGCTCCTAATCTCAGCTCGTTACCTGTATAAAAGACACCTGGGAGCCAGAAATCTTTCTGATTGAGAGGGGGTCAAATACTTATTTCGCTCATTAAAATGAAAATCAATTCATAACATTTTTGACATGCATTTATCTGGATTTTTTTGTTGTTATTCTGTCTCTCACTGTTCAAATAAACCTGCCATTAAAATTATAGACTGATAATTTCTTTGTCAGTGGGCAAACGTACAAAATCAGCAGGGGATCAAATACTTTTTTCCCTCACTGTATGACTCTCACAAACTTTTACTGATGCACAATTGAGAGCATCCTGTCGGGCTGCATCACCACCTGGTACGGCAACTGCACCGCCCGCAACCGCAGGGCTCTCCAGAGGGTGGTGCAGTCTGCCCAACGCATCACCGGGGGCACAATGCCAGCCCTCCAGGACACCTACAGCACCCGATGTCACAGGAAAGCCAAAAATATAATCAAGGACATCAACCACCCGAGCCACGGCCCATTCACCCCGTTATCATTCAGAAGGCGAGGTCAGTACAGGTGCATCAAAGCTGGGACCGAGAGACTGAAAAACAGCTTCTATCTCAAGGCCATCAGACTGTTAAATAGCCATCACTAGGCGGTTTCCACCCGGTTACTCAATCCTGCACCTTAGAGGCTGCTGCCCTATGTACACAGACATGGAATCACTGGTCACTTTAAAAATGGAACACTAGTCACTTTAATAATGTTTACATACCGCTTTACTCATCTCATATGTATATACTGTATTTTAGTCAAAGCCACTCCGACATTGCTCGTCCTAACATTTATATATTTCTTAATTCCATTCTTTTACTTTCAGATTTGTGTGTATTGTTGTGAATTGTTAGATACTACTGCACTGTTGGAGCTAGGAACACAAGCATTTCGCTACACCCGCAATAACATCTGCTAAATATGTGTATGTGATTTGATTTGATTGAACCAGTTTGTGGCCAGTGGGTTATTCTGAGCCCCAGAACTAGATTGAGTAATACTAATACATCCATGCTCAATGTAACATGGCTTCAGATTGTAAATAAAGTCCCTAATAAAACCACAACAATCTACTGGACACAATCTACTGTAATGCCCCTGTAATGCCCCTGTAATGCCCCTGTAATGCCCCTGTAATGCCCATGAACATGCTATCATTTAATGAAAATGCTTCAGAACAGTCTCTAGACAGTACCAGAACAATCCACTAGAGTCTGGTTGCTGTTCCTGTCCTGTATATTTCTCTGTTCTGTTTCTTCACGGTCGGAACATGGGGCCAGACGGCTAGGACCGGAACATGGGACCAGACGGCCAGGACTGGGACAGGGTATATTTATAGTACCTGTCCCATTAGTACAGCACTGAGGAGACCTCCATTAACACTGAGGAGACCTTCATTAACACTGATGAGTCCTCCATTAACACTGAGGAGACCTCCATTAACACTGAGGAGACCTCCATTAGTACAGCACTGAGGATACCTCCATTAACACTGAGGAGACCTCCATTAACACAACATTGAGGAGACCTCCATTAACACTGAGGAGACCTCCATTAACATGGAGGAGACCTCCATTAGTACAGCACTGAGGAGACCTCCATTAGTACAGCACTGAGGAGACCTCCATAACACTGAGGAGACCTCCATTAGTACAGCACTGAGGTGTCCTCCATTAACACTGAGAAGACCTCCAATAACACTGAGGAGACCTTCATTAACACTGAGGAGACCTCAATTAACACTGAGGAGACCTCCATTAGTACAGCACTGAGGAGACCTCCATTAACACTGAGGAGACCTCCATTAGTACAACAATGAGGAGACCTCCATTAACACTGAGGAGACCTCCATTAACACTGAGGAGACCTCCATTAACACTGAGGAGATCTCCATTAACACTGAGGAGAGCTTGTATTAGTACAGCACTGAGGAGACCTTCATTAACACAACACTGAGGAGACCTCCATTAACACAACACTGGGGAGACCTCCATTAACACTGATGAGACCTTCATAACACTGAGGAGACCTCCATTAACACTGAGGAGACCTCCATTAACACAACATTGAGGAGACCTCCATTAACACTGAGGAGACCTCCATTAGTACAGCACTGAGGAGACCTCCATTAACACTGAGGAGACCTCCATTAGTACAGCACTGAGGAGACCTCCATTAACACTGAGAAGACCTCCATTAACACTGAGGAGACCTCCATTAACACTGAGGAGACCTCCATTAACACTAAGGAGACCTCCATTAACACAACACTGAGGAGACCTCCATTAACACTGAGGAGACCTCCATTAACACTGATGAGACCTCCATTAACACTAATGAGACATCCATTAACACTGATGAGACCTCCATTAACACTGATGAGACCTCCATAACACTGAGGAGACCTCCATTAACACTGAGTAGACCTTCCTGAGCACTGAGGGACACAGAGAGAGGAAGAGGAGGAATTGAACTCTCATCGTCTCCATCTATCTCTCTGAGATCTCTACTGTCACAACAACAACAATAAAAAATGAAACATTTGGAAAGAGAAGAACAGAGCAGAGCAGAACAGAACAGAACAGAACAGAACAGAGCAGAACAGAAGACAAGAGAGAAGAACCGAGCAGAACTGAACAGAACAGAAGAGAAGAAAAAAGAGAGAAGAACCGAGCAGAAGAGAAAAGAACAGAACAGAACAGAACAGAAGAGAGTAGAACAGAGCAGAACAGGAGAAAGGAGGAGAGGGGAGGAGGTTCTCACCTTGAAGTGTATCTTCACTCGGTAGTCCACTCCTTCCTTCATGGTGAAACTCTTCTTCTTCAGAGCCTCCAGGTCACCTGCAGGTCAACATTATGACAACGTGAGGTCAACAGATTACGTTATCACTTCCATATTCAAACACAACAGACAAACTGCAGATTATATCCAATTCTCTGTGTCTGGTCTCTGAGTGTTCTCTGTGTCTGGTCTCTGAGTGTTCTTTGTGTCTGGTCTCTGAGTGTTCTCTGTGTCTGGTCTCTGTGTCTGTTCTCTGACTGTTCTATGTGTCTGGTCTCTGACTGTTCTCTGTGTCTGGTCTCTGACTGTTCTCTGTGTCTGGTCTCTGACTGTTCTCTGTGTCTGGTCTCTGACTGTTCTCTGTGTCTGGTCTCTGTGTCTGTTCTCTGACTGTTCTCTGTGTCTGGTCTCTGTGTGTTATCTGTGTCTAGTCTCTGACTGTTCTCTGTGTCTGGTCTCTGACTGTTCTCTGTGTCTACTACTTTTGACCAGCGCCCTATGGCACACTATTCCCTACATAGTGCACTACTTTTGACCAGAGACCACTCTAGAACCCTCTGACCACAGATACAGCACAGTAATGGGTGTTTAATACATTTCAACTATACTTGACCTGCTGTAAAAGCCTTATCATGGAGGATACAGGAGAGGAGGAGGAGGAAGCAGCAGAGATAAAAGGAGAGAGATGAAGAGAAGAGAGAAGAGAGTGCTGATGGTTCTGAAAGGAAGAGAGAGAAGGAAGCAGAGGAGAGATAAAGGACAAATAAAACAGAAAGGACAGCCCCCCCCCCCCCCCCCCAAGAGCTAGTTTAACAGTAGCTCGTGGTATTCCCAGTCAACATCAAAGTCACATCAGACAGTGTGCTTCAACCATTACACTCTCAGAAAAAAGGCTTCTTCCAAAAGGATTGTTCGGCTGTCCCCATATGAGAACCCTTTAGCTCTCTCCCTCTATTTCTAGTCTCCCCCGCTCTCTCTCTCCCCCTCTCACCTACCTCTCCCTATCTCTCCACCCATCTCTCTCTCTATCTCTCTCCCTCCCTCTATCTCTCGCTCTCCCTCTCTGAAGACAGAATCAGACATTGGTTCCCTGGAGAGTGTTTCTCACTGAGTCTGAGAAAATGGGTCAACAATAGAACTCTCTCTCCCTCCCTTCGTCTGTTCTGGTAATAACCCACAAACTGCAGACGGATAGAACCAGCACATCACAGGTAGCACATGCAGGTATATCAGGCATCTCTTTTCCCTCTCCTCCTCTCTCACCCTCTCACCCTCTCTCCCCCCCTCCCTCTCTCGCCATCCCTACCCCTCCCTCCCGCACTCTCTCCACCCCTAACCCTCCCTCCCTCTCTCTCCACCCCTACCCCTTAGCTTCCCTCTCTCTCTCCCGCTCTCTCCACCCGTACCCCTCCCTCCCTCCCTCTCTCTCCTCCCCTACCCCTCCCTCTCTCTCCACCCCTACCCCTTAGCTTCCCTCTCTCTCCACCCCTACCCTTCCCTCCCTCTCTCTCCACCCCTACCCCTTAGCTTCCCTCTCTCTCTCTCTCCCTCTCTCTCCACGCCTACCCCTCCCTCTCTCTCCACCCCTACCCCTCAGCTTCCCTCTCTCTCTCCCTCTCTCTCCATCCCTACCCTTTAGCTTCCCTCTCTCTCATTTCTGTCTCTCCTCTTTCCATCAGAAAATCTCATCTTTCCTTTGCCTCTATATAGAATAGGTTGTAGAGGAGGAGGGAGGACGGAGGAGGGAGGAGGGAGCAGGGTAGAGGAGGAGGGAGGACGGAGGAGGGAGCAGGGAGCAGTGAGAGGAGGAGGAGGGAGGAGGGAGCAGAAAGGACGGAGGAGGGAGGAGGGAGGAGGGAGGACGGAGGAGGGAGGGAGGAGAGTAGAGGAGGAGGGAGGAGGGAGGGAGGAGAGTAGAGGAGGAGGGAGGAGGGAGAGTAGAGGAGGAGGGAGGACGGAGGGAAGAGCAGGGTAGAGGAGGAGGGAGGACGGAGGAGGGAGCAGGGAGGACGGAGGAGGGAGCAGGGAGCAGTGAGAGGAGGAGGGAGGACGAAGGAGGGAGCAGGGAGGAAGGAGGAGGGAGGAGGGAGGGAGGAGGAGAGTAGAGGAGGAGGGAGGAGGGAGGGAGGGAGGAGAGTAGAGGAGGAGGGAGGAGGGAGGGAGGAGAGTAGAGGAGGAGGGAGGACGGAGGGAGGAGCAGGGTAGAGGAGGAGGGAGGACGGAGGAGGGAGCAGGGGAGGACGGAGGAGGGAGGGAGAGGGAGGGAGGAGGGAGGACGAAGGAGGGAGCAGGGAGGACGGAGGAGGGAGGAGGGAGGGAGGAGAGTAGAGGAGGAGGGAGGAGAGTAGAGGAGGAGGGAGGAGGGGAGGGAGGAGTGGTGCTGAACATACTGTATGACCCTGCTAGCTTTAAGCTACTGTCTGGGATTTATTTTACTTTTAAATGAATGATACTGTATATGTGGCGGGGCAGCCGTGTTGTTGTTTGAATCCCAGACTGTAGCTTTAAGCATACAACTTTGGTGTCAAACACAATGCAATAATCCTCCGCTTCAAACCCACTGACAGACAGCAGTATAGTTGTAGCTGATTTCAGATCAGTTTCAGAGAGAGAAAGATTCAGTCAACATTATACTAGGGGAATCCCTGGTCTGCCGGTTATGGTTTACAACTGGAGATTATCACAGACCAATATTATACAGCTACAAAAGAGGAAGAGAGGGATATATTATAGCTGTAAAGCAGTATAGCAATGTCTGGGAGTAATATAGTCAATCAATAAATGTCGAAATATAACATTTTCCAAGTATAGCTTTTCTAAAGATCTAGACCCTCTAATGAAAATAGTTGTATAGTTGAATAGTGTTCAGTGTGTTTGTGGCTTTTCTAAAGATCTAGACCCTCTAATGAAAATAGTTGTTTAGTGTTCAGTGTGTTTGTGGCTTTTCAAAAGATCTAGACCCTCTAATGAAAATAGTTGTATAGTTATATAGTGTTCAGTGTGTTTGTGGCTTTTCTAAAGATCTAGACCCTCTAATGAAAATAGGTGTATAGTTGTATAGTGTTCAGTGTGTTTGTGGCTGCTAGTTACTGTAGCTATACATGTCTCTCGTCAGAAAGGAGACAGAAGTGGGCTGATGCAGAGTCAGACTGGCTTACAGGCTGGATATATGACGTTTAAATCAATACAAGTTGAGTTATACAGATCGAATACAGTGCTTTCGAAAAGTATTCAGACCCCTTTACTTTTTCCACATTTTGTTACGTTACAGCCTTATTCTAAAATGGATTACATAGCTTTTCCCCCTCATCAATCTACACACAATAACCCATAATGACAAAGCAAAAACAGGTTTTTAAAAACGTTTGCAAATTTATTATAAATAAAAAAACGTAAATATGACATTTACATAAGTATTCAGACCCTTTACTCAGTACTTTGTTGAAGCACCTTTGGCAGTGATTACAGCCTCGAGTCTTCTTGGGTATGACGCTACAAGCTTGGCACACCTGTATTTGAGGAGTCTCTCCCATTCTTCTCTGCAGATCCTCTCAAGCTCTGTCAGGTTGGATGGGGAGCGTCGCCGCACAGCTATTTTCAAGTCTCTCCAGAGATGTTTGATCGGGTTCAAGTCCGGACTCTGGCTGGGCCACTCAAGGACATACAGAGACTTGTCCCGAAGCCACTCCTGCGTTGTCTTGGCTGTGTGCTTAGGGTCGTTGTCCTGTTGGAAGATGAATCTTTGCCCCAGTCTGAGGTCCTGAGCACTCTGGAGCAGGTTTTCATCAAGGATCTCTCTGTGCTTTGCTCCGTTCATCTTTCCTTCGATCCTGACCAGTCTCCCAGTCCCTGCCGCTGAAAAACATCCCAACAGCATGATGCTGCCACCACCATGCTTCACCGTAGGGATGGTGCCAGGTTTCTTCCAGACGTGGCACTTGGCATTCAGGCCACAGAGTCCAATATTGGTTTCATTGGACCAGAGAATCTGTTTTCTCATGGTCAGAGTCCTTTAGGTGCCTTTTTGGCAAACTCCAAGCGGGCTGTCATGTGCCTTTTACTGAGGAGTGGCTTCCATCTGGCCACTCTACCATAAAGGCCTGATTGGTGGAGTGCTGCAGAGATGGTTGTCCTTCTGGAAGGCTCTCCCATCTCCAAAGAGGAACTCTGGAGCTCTGTCAGAGTGACCATCGGGTTCTTGGTCACCTCCCTGACCAAGGCCCTTCTCCCCCGATTGCTCAGTTTGGCCAGGCGGCCAGCTCTAGGAAGAGTCTTGGTGGTTCCAAACTTCTTCCATTTAAGAATGATGGAGGCCAATGTGTTCTTGGGGACCTTCAATGGTGCAGAAATGTTTTGGTACCCTTCCCCAGATCTGTGCATCGACACAATCCTGTCTCGGAGGTCTACAGACAATTCCTTCAACCTCATGGCTTGGTTTTTGCTCTGACATGCTCTGTCAACTGTGGGACCTTATATAGACAGGTGTGTGCCTTTCCAAATCATGTCCAATCAATTGAAGAAACATCTCAAAGAAGATCAATGGAAACAGGATGCACCTGAGCTCAATTTCGAGTCTCATAGCAAAGGGTCTGAATACTTATGTAAAAAAGGTATTTCTGTCTAAAAACTTGCTGTCGCTTTGTCATTATGGGGTATTGTGTGTAGATTGATGAGGGGGAAAAAAACAATTTAATCAATTTTAGAAGAAGGCTGTAACGTAACAAAATGTGGAAAAAGTCAAGGGGTGTGAATACTTTCCGAATGCACTGTATCTTATAAAAGAACAAATGGTAATAAATAATCTCAGAGATGACAGTAGAGCGGTGAGCCAGCCACACACACACACACACACACACAGACACAGACACACACAGACACAGACACACACACACACACACACACAGACACACACACGACAGGAGAGCAGTGAGCTACACACACACAGACACAGACACACAGACACACACACACACACACACACACAGACACACACACACACACACACACACACACACACACACACACACACACACACGACAGGAGAGCAGTGAGCTACACTACCGTCTGACCTACAAGACATATATGTGGAAGGAAAGTGATATATAGGCGTCCAAGTGGCACCCTATTCTCTATAGGGGTCCTGGTTAAAAGTAGTGCACTATAAAGGGAATAGGGTACCATTTGGGACGCTACCATAATGTCTGATATAGAGTTAAAGAGTAACCTGGTATAGGTGGGGAGTCAATGATACACAGGACTGGAAGTCCTTATAAAATAGTATTCTAAGTGGTATATACAGTATTATACACACGCGCACACGCACGTAACAAGGAAACACACACACACACACGCTTTTTTGAAACACAACACCTGGTGCTTTACCGTTAACACCCTGGCATGTTTTTCTTTAAACAGGAAGTGAAGTCAGCAGACAGAAACATCACCACGGCAACGCTCCACCTGCAATCTGTTGGGACAGACTACTTTCTGTCAACACACCGGAACCCTACAGAGTCACTTCCTGTGTAATCTCAGAAAACCCAGAACTAAAATGTTCCGGAACTGAAACGTTATTTTAAAAGCATGGGAACCGGTTAGATTTTATAACATGATTTTACGTTCTGGGCATTTTTTTCAAGCCCTCTGTCATTCAGAAACTTATTCCAGTGTCTGCCTGCCAGCTGAACATCTTTACCAGTGTGTGTGTGTGTGTAGGCTACCTGCCCCCCCCCCCCCCCCCCCCCCCCCTCCCCTCCCTCCGAAGCATAGTCTACTGTAGCTACTGACGTTACAAGCATGATTCAGAAATTAAGGAGAGATTTTTAATTAGAGAAGAATGGATGAACTTTTTCAATGCTTATATGTGGTCCCCCCCACCCTTTTTAAGGGACCAAAAGTAATTGGACAATTGGCTGCTCAGCTGTTCCATGGCCAGGTGTGTGTTATTCCCTCATTAGTTCATTTACAAGTAAGCAGATAAAAGGTCTAGAGTTGATTTCAAGTGTGGAATTTGCATTTGGAATCTGTTGCTGTTAACCCTCAATATGAAGTCTAAAGAGCTCACTGCCAGTGAAGCAAGCCATCATTAGGCTGAAAAACAAACCCATCAGAGAGATAGCAAAAATATTAGGTGTGGCCAAATCAACTATTTGGTACATTCTTAAAAAGAAAGAAAGCAATGGTGAGCTCAGGAACACCAAAAGGCCCGGAAGACCACAGAAAACAACTGTGGTGGATGACAGAATAATTATTTCCCTGGTGAAGAAAAACCCCTTCGCAACAGTTGGCCAGATCAAGAACACCCTCCAGGAGGTAGGCGTATCTGTGTAAAAGTCAACAATCAAGAGAAGACTTCACCAGAGTAAATACAGAGGGTTTACCACAAGATGTAAACCATTGGTAAGCCTCAAAAACAGGAAGACCAGATTAGAGTTTGCCAAAAAACATCTAAAAAAGCCTGTACAGTTCTGGAACAACATCCTATGGACAGATGAGACAAAGATCAACTTGTACCAGAATGATGGGAAGAGAAGAGTATGGAGAAGGGAAGGAACTGCTCATGATCCGAAGCATACCACCTCATCTGTGAAGCATGGTGGAGGTAGTGTTATAGCGTGGGCATGTATGGCTGCCAATGGAACTGGTTCCCTTGTATTTATTGATGATGTGACTGCTGACAAAAGCAGCAGGATGAATTCTGAAGTGCTTAGGGCTATATTATCTGCTCAGATTCAGTCAAATGCTTCAAAACTCATTGGACGGAGCTTCACAGTGCAGATGGACAATGACCCGAAGCGTTCTGCGAAAGCAACCCAATACTTTTTTAAGGCAAAGAAGTGGAATGTTCTGCAATGGCCAAGTCAATCACCTGACCTGAATCCAATTGAGCATGCATTTCACTTGCTGGAGGCAAAACTGAAGCAAAAACGCCCCAAGAACAAGCAGGAACTGAAGACAGCTACAGTAAAGGCCTGGCAGAGCATCACCAGGGAAGAAACCCAGCATCTGGTGATGTCTAAGGGTTCCAGACTTCAGGCAGTCATTGACTGCAAAGGATTTGCAACCAAGTATTAAAACTCACAATTTAATTTATGATTATGTTAGTTTGTCCAATTACTTTTGAGCCCCTAAAATTGGGGGGCTATGTGTAAAAATGGTTGTAATTCCGACACGGTTCATACAATAATTTTGACAAAACCCTTAAATTAAAGATGGAAGTTTACACTTCAAGCACATCTTGATTGTTTCCTTTCAAATCCATTGTGGTGGCGTACAGAGCCAAAATGATGCAAATTGTGTCACTGTCCAAATACTTATGTACCTGACTGTAGATAACAAACAAAAGTGAAATAAACTATAACAAATAACTGTAAAATTACACTCACAAAAGTTCCAAAAGAACAAAGACATTTCAAGTGTCATATTATGTCTATATACAGTGTTGTAATGATGTGCAAATAGTTAAAATACAAAAGGGAAAATAAACATAAATATAGGTTCTTCACTGGTTGCCCTTTTCTTGTGGCAACAGGTCACAAATCTTGCTGCTGTGATTGCACACTGTGGTATTTCACCCAATAGATATGGGAGTTTATCAAAATTGGATTTGTTTTTGAATTCTTTGTGGGTCTGTGTAATCTGAGGGAAATATGTATCTCTAATATGGTCATACATTTGGCAGGAGGTTAGGAAGTGCAGCTCAGTTTCCACCTCATTTTGTGGGCAGTGTGCACATAGCCTGTCTTCTCTTGACAGCCAGGTCTGCCAATAGCAAGGCTGTGGGGTCTGTTTGTGTTTGTGAGCAAAGCCCCAGGACCAGCTTGCTTAGGGGACTCTTCTCCAGGTTAATTTCTCTGTAGATGATGGCTTTGTTATGGAAGGTTTGGGAATTGCTTCCTTTTAGGTTGTTGTAGAATTTAACGGCTCTTTTCTGGATTTTGATCATTAGCGGGTATCGGCCTAATTCTGCTCTGCATGCATTATTTGGTGTTTTACGTTGTACACAGAGGATATTTCTTGCAGAATTCTGCATGCAGAGTCTCAATTTGGTGTTTGTCCCATTTTGTGAATTCTTGGTTGGTGAGCGGACCCCAGACCTCACAACCATAAAGGGCAATGGGTCCTATAACTGATTCAAGTATTTTTAGCCAGATCCTAATTTTTTCATACTGGCCCCCTGTGGGAATCGAACCCACAACCTTGGCGTTGCAAACGCCATGCTCTACCAACTGAGCTACACGGGACCTTTTATCATTTAATTTAGGATACCATCAACCCCACAGGCCTTTTTGGGTTTGTATTTTGTCCTGTAGTTCATTCAATGTAATTGGAGAATCAAGTGAGTTCTGGTAGTCTTTAATAGTTGATTCTAAGATTTTTATTTGATCATGTATATGTTTTTGCTGTTTGTTCTTTGTAATAGGGCCAAAACGATTGGAGAAGTGGTTTATCCATACATCTCCGTTTTGGATAGATAACTCTTTGTGTTGTTGTTTGTTCAGAGTTTTCCAATTTTCCCAGAAGTGGTTAGATTCTCTCTCTCTCAGCCTCTCTGTGTAGATCTCTCTCTCTCTACTTCTCTCTCTGTTTCTCTCTCTCTCTCTTGGATGGTTCTATCGCCTAGCAACCAGGTGACCTTTCCCATTAGTCTCAGTCTCAGTTTGTTTGTGTGTGTGTGTGTGTGTGTGTGTTGGTTGTCCTTCGTGAAATAGAAGACAGTGGGGTATACTTAGATATCGTCTCATTCGAGGGAAGCCCCTCAGGAAGCCAAGTTTATCTACCAGAATACAGAAAATCCCACCACACACAGACACACTGATGCACACAGACACACCCACTAGCGCACAAACACCATCACACACACAAACACCATCACACACACAAACACCATCACACACACAAACACTATCACACACACACACCAGACACCACACACTGTCAGATCGATGGTCCTCCACAGTCTCCTGCTCTGTGGGAGGATGACATCATCATGGCTCGGCAGAAGGGGCGTTGACACCATATTACTATGCTGAGCAGCCCTCTGACACACACACACACACACACACACACACACACACAAACATTCTGTATATGGACATACAGACAAAGAGAGACAGACACACACACCAGCGCAAACACAGTCCCCAAGAACAGCATCCAGCGCCTGGTCTTTCTCCATCACAGAATAACAGTGGGAAAAAACCACACCCACATCCCACTACACTGATTTCATTCATATTAGAGCCACATCCCACTACACTGAATTCATTCATATTGGAGCCACATCCCACAACACTGAATTCATTCATATTGGAGCCACATCCCACTACACTGAATTCTTAATATTGCAGCCACATCCCACTACACTGAATTCATTCATATTGGAGCCACATCCCACTACACTGAATTCATTCATATTGGAGCCACATCCCACTACACTGAATTCATTCATATTGGAGCCACATCCCACTACACTGAATTCATTCATATTGGAGCCACATCCAC